CTAATTCAGCAAGATAGTTGAGCAAATTAGTGACTGCGAGGACAGGAAGGTCAATGAGTCTACTTAAATAAGGTAGATGGTTAAGTACCATCCTGAATCAGAGTATTTTTTCTGATTGTGTGATATGTGCTGCTACGTTAGTAATTGAAGATGTGTTCCCAGAAAAGCAAACAGTTTCATCCTATCTGGACCACATACTTTGTGTATTAAAAGGAGAACTGTAATTTCTTGTGTTGAGAATGACTCTTAGTAGTGAAAACCTGGATACTGAAAAGGTTTTGGTCCAACTGCTAATTTGGCAAGATGCTATGAATAGACTTATTCTGTTTTAGTTGCACAACTTCAATGACAGTGTAGTATACATTAAATGCTTGTGCAAGGAAAGGCTATTAACTATAGAATATAAAAAAACAAATTCAGAAGAAAATCAAAGCTTATCATTTGCCGTCTTGCAATGGTGTACTGTTTTCTTAAATACACAATAGTGTATTTAACAGAATTGTCACAAATTTGTTGATCTTCACAATGCCCCATTCTTTTTATGATTATCGCTAAAAGTTTACTGTTGGTGGTTTAATCTTAATGATCATGGCATTTTATCTGCTTATGGAGAAAAAACTACATTTATTTACTCCGATGCATTAGTTAATTCTACATATACATAGAACTGAGCTCTGGAAATTGTGGAAATAAAACTTGGAAATAGACATGAAGGTTATGTAAGAGAAAAATTTATAATTGATTTTTTACAGCAGTGGGAAAAGCAATAACAGTTTTTGACCATTAGTTATTGGTGCTTAGCTTTAAGTATGCTTTGGCATTCATAATGTGAAGCGATAAGACCTTTGCTTACATCAGTAGCTTTTTTCTAATGTTAATGTAGTGAAAAAAGAGTTTATGGGAGAAAGTAGCAGAACAGATACAAGTAGAGCATTTTACGTTCTGAAAAAACATGGTTTTTAAAGGCTAAGTCTGAAAAATGTTTAGATTAGCTCCAACATAAGAAACACGTAGAAAACAATCAGGTCTGTTGATTGTCATATCTTCTTCCAAATCTTTTAAAGCTGAATAAAGTTAGAATATCCATCACATGTAACCTCATTTCATATAACAAATGCATTAAAATGCATGTAGAAGTTTGTTCAACAGATGAGGAATGAGTTCTTAAGGAGGCTGTATTTGTGTTATTTTGTTGTTGTTGTCAGTTTGTTTCTTTAATTGTGGATTGATTTTTTTTTTTTTTGTGTGTGTGTGTATACCTTAATTTTGATAGGTCCCTGGTACTACAGATAGTGTAAAACTAGAATTAAATCACCTGTGCAAGACAATAAAAGGAGAATATTTTATAATTTTGAGAAAGAATAGTTTCTATAAGGAAAAACTAGCCTTAGCTGTAACAGCAAATTTCTGTGTACATCACTGGAAACTAGGATTTTCAGTCTTCAACTGAAACATTTGTGTTTATAGGATGCATGCAAAGAACTAAAACGTTAGCGTGCTTTATAACATATTGCATAAAACAGAATCAATTTCAGTTTAAAAAAATTACCGTAATAAAATGCAAGAATTCTAAAACTATAATAAAGTTAATACATACAGTGTAATTTAGTCAAGAACAAGAAATAGGGAAGTATGAGACAGATTTTACCCTGAAGCAGCTTTCTGGCTGTACATCTCTACTGTTCAGCTGTTTGTCCTAGAAGAAATGTAAGATTCTAATTTTTTTTTTTTTACACTACTTTATAACTAGTTGTTTTGGTGCTATGGCTTTGTATTTTAGAGAAAGTACTTTTTAAAGTTTTATCACTGAAAAATATGGGAATTCCTAGGATAACAGTATCAAGTTAAGTGTAACTCTTGACATTGCATGAAATGTTAGTGTTTTCAGGGCTATGGCATTTCTTTAACAACGTGGTCCTTTCCTTTGAAAACAAACCTTGCACCAAAATTTAATAGAAAAAAAAACAACAGAACTTTAGGTAGAACTCAACATTGTTCCTAATAGTTCCAGGCATATTGTGCTAAATACTGTTTCAGGATAAAACACACAACTCAAATTTCACTTGACAGCATCCATGGTAGAGGAATAGAACTCCTTTATTTTTCTTGGTGAGACTGTCACATGGTCAGGTATTGTGTGTTCACTGGAGAAACCTGTTTATGTACTGCTTTTACCTTTTTAGTGTAAGGAGAGAGAAAAGCTAGGAAAGAGGAGCTTTGTCTCTTCCCTTGGGCAGTATATTGTATGCTGCAAATGTGTTTGGTATAAGGTGTTAATTAAAGATCCAACAGAACTGATGAAAGGTATTTTCTCCTCTTCGGTATCCAAGAGAATATTTTCCCCTGTCCTTAGTGAGTCGGTGTCTGCACTGCCCTTTGGCAGTCACTTAAATCCTTAGCTGACTGGAATGTCCTCATTTGCTTTATTTTTCTCAGACTACAGATAATATTCTTATTTTTCTGAAATTTTAATACCACTCTAAGAAATGTTTTGCTGAAGGAAAAGGAATCACAAAGCACTGTTTCACTTGGGTAATGGGAACTGAACGCATCATTTTCTTCATGAATTCTGCATGTTTTTCCATAAGATAATGGTTTTAATTTATTTACAAGGATGCCATCCCTGTAGAAATAGCTGATAACAGATACAGAGGTGTTTAAATCTTCAATTTTGTGCAGTTAATTGATGAGAAATAATTGTAGATGAGGCAATTAATAATAGAAATAACTGTAATTAAGATTTCTTAGAAGTCTTTTTAAGAGTTGCTCAGTTTCTTAGCGTTTGTACTGCTATGTACCTATCCTTGCTTCCACGTATAATGTGTTGTGACATGTTGAATGCTGTATATTTCTGATGATTTTTCTTTAGGAATTTGACTGAGCACAGTAACTGTAGCACTTGTGCATGTGAAATCAAATTTATAAAATTAAAACGTAATTAGGATGTAATCTCTTTCACATAAATTCTGGGTAATATTAGTGTGACATAAGTTTTACTTCTAATTTTTTTAAGTTATGAGTTGTCTTGCTAAAGAGTATTAAAAAAATCTTTGTTTAATCCTTGCAGTTGGATCTTTGGGGACAGCAAATAGCAGGGGATTAAAGAAAAGAGTACAGCAAGAATTTGTTAGGAAAATCTATAACAGAAGGATTAAGTAACTGTCCCTAATGAGGCATCTGAATGTATCTTTTTTGGCTGAAAGACAGAAAAAATTGTAATGTAGCTTTAGTCACTGGGACCTGCAGGGTCAGCTGAGTACTGGAGTTTAAAATGTTATGTCACTGGAAATGCTATTGCATAGGTTCTATTCTTTGTCCCATTACTGTATGCTTAATAAATTGCAAGAGAATTTGGGTGTGATAATCTCTGTCTCAAGCTAAATGCAGTGCAGACAACTAAACTTCCTGATTTCCTGAAGCATCTGAGCTTTTCTCTAAGTCTGTTTACAATCCTCTGTTGCCTGCAGAAAGAGATTTCTTAAAACTCTCAGAAAGACAACAGAATTAAAAAAAAAAAAAAAAAAAAAGCAAAACAACAGTATGCTGAAAATGGTAAGACCTTCTAAATGGGAAGAATGACTATGAACAGGCAGTGAGGCAGGAACTAGCACATCAAAGAATTTACACTAGTTTTAAATGTTTGCTGTTTTGATGTGTTGATAATACAGCATGAAACTGAGTTATGTTTTAGTTGACAAAGCATATGGCTGCACTGTCAGATGGAAACATCATCAAGAGACTTAGTGAAGCATTATCCAGTGATCTTCAGATAATCTCTTAAATAAAGAAAAAATTATTTGGAGTATGTTGATAAGTACTTTGTATTTTAAAGAGTATCCTGATTATTTACTACCAACTAACATTAACTTTAAAGTCATTTGAGGCATAGCAGAGGTAGTTATATTATTGGGCCATGAGAATGCAATACAAAATGTTTATCCAAATATATTTTTTCTTGATCCGTCTTTATGCATTGCTCCTGTTGCTAGAATGCAAGTGACTCTTCTGCTTGCTTTTAATACCATACCACATTCTAAATTTACTATTGCCAGCGAATGCAGTTCTTAGTCTGAATTAGTTTTATAACTGCATCTTTTTCTTAAAGATAGCGTTACTTCTGTGCAGGAGAAGTTACTGTGGCAATCCTTCAAGTTTCTGAATTAACATTCTTAGTCTGAGTTCATATGCTTATTATCAGTTACTAACAGTGATTAAACATTGGTGGTAAATGCAATTGTGCACCACCAAAAGCTCCAGGAACCTGATTACATCTGCTTTCCCAATTTAATTAAGAAATAATTTTTTCCATGTGATCTGTGCATATCAAAGAAATAGAGTTTTTAAGTGAAAAAAAAAAAAAAAGCCTTTTATTTTATGCAACATACAGAAGAAAAATTGTTATAGAAATTCTTGGCAGCTGAATCTATTACAAGCAGTATACAGTCTTGACTGTGTCACAGTGCTCATTTAGCCATCAATGTCTTTCCAACTTTGTATTACTACTGTCTGCTTGGACTGTGGCTATTTCTGTGTTAAATCATACCTGAGTATTACTGAAATCCTCAGGGAGGTGTTCCCTAACTAGGATGTTCTGTAAGCATCTATACTGCAGGTCATCAGAATGTCCCTAGACCACCAAAGGTGGTAAGGATTAATTTCATTATATGCTATAAAAGATGTCCTTGAGCCCCTATTCCACAGATACTTGCTTTTGTTGTTTTTGTGAACTCCAATTTATGATAGAATTTGACTTTCTCCAGGCAGGATAGTTAAAAGACAATGCAGATAGGGCACAAATAATTATCTTAGCAATTGCTAGAGGAACTTTACTGTCTGAACCTGCTTAGAAAGAAGTCCGCTTTTATACGGTCTTGGACAAAGACAAGGCCTTCATGATGGTAGGGCAGTGATTTTTTTTTTCTTTTTTTTAATCTAAGCTAATTCATATGAAAATCAAATTACTTGTCAAGAAGGTAACACTTTTTTTGTTTTCTTTTCAGAAACTGACACCTGTTAGGCCATGAAGCACAAGCAGTATCAGAAGAAAATTCCAAAGTAGCCATGCAAAGTAGCCATGAGTATTTTGTCCTGAACTGACTAACACTCAGGTAAGAAAATATCCTTTCATCTCAGTCTGTTCTTCTAAATTAAGAAATAACCCTGCTTCCCCCAAATAATTTTGAGTAGACCTGAATAGAAATAATCAAGGTAGCCCATGTTTTAAGGGAAGGTCCTTAGATGAAGCAGTACACAAAACACTGCAAAGGCCGTGAGATGTGTGATGTCCATTCTTGCCTCAAGCACTCAGGTTTGTAAGCTGCCTTGAGTGCAAAACCTGGCCTTGTTCTTGTACTGCAGCTGTACTTGTCCATCCTAGCTGTCCTTGATGTTCAAGTGTAGGAGCGAGGCAAGTGCTAACTCCACTGACAGAGTGCTCTTCAGTCTCTTCTTGGAAAGCCTGTGTGGGATGTCCTGTGAAGTGTAAGGGGCCCCTATCCCCAGTATCATGCTGTGCTATACGTTAGGGAGTGATGTCACGGGGCCATTAGTGTAGGGAAAATTGAGCTGTAGAGGAATAGCCTTTGGAATCCCTGCTGTAGTTTAAACAGACAAGATGTTCTGCCATCATTGATTCAGATCCAGTAAATGTTGTGAGTCCAAGATTTTAATGATAAATAGATTTGTATTTTAAGTGTGGTATAGTGAATTATTGAGAAGTTGAATTGATTTTGTTGTTTTGCTTTTCCTCTGAATTTTACCCAGATGTTATCTGAATGTTGGAAGAAACCATTTAAAAGAAAAATCTTTACAAGCAATTATGCATGCTGATGCAATCTACATAGCATACAGAAGATTATGGTAATGTAGTTTATATTTGATTTTCACAATCCCCTGAAATACAAGGGTTAATTATCTGTGCAACTGTGGCATGTGGGTTAATTTGAACAGATTAGATTACCATGATTAGCAATGCCTGGGGAACAGTATAAAATGATTCCCTGTCTAAACTGGTTTGCTGCTGCTAGAATGAAAACAACCTATGCAGAAAAATCAAATGTTCATCACTGAGGGAAGAAAATATAATGTAAGATTTTGGGCTTATCTTTTATATGTCTGATTTATCCAAACTAAAACAATTTCTAGATTTGTAATGAACTCAGAAAATGTAGCTGAAACCTTGAGTCACTGCAGATGGATGGGCTATCTGGAATATCATGCTTTTAAATTACACATATGAGAAGTTGAAGATGCTTTTTTTTTTTTTTTTTTTTTCTTTTTTTAAATTTTGAAATAGCTTAATTTCTCGTCAGGTTCTATTTTTATTTCAAGTAAATCTATTGATAATTTGTCTGTAGCATGTAAGTGTTTGTTACTTATGGGCGTTTATTTATATATACCTTTATACTTGTCAGTGATAATTTTTTTTTCCTGCAGTAATCCATACATCCATACCACTGAAGAATTCTGGTAAAAACTTTTTTAACAAGACTGAAAGATTAACAAAATACAGAAAGTATTCTTAACAAATAATTTCTGATTTTTTTTTTTTTTTTTTTTTTCCGTAGCTGTGATTATGACAATCTGTTCAAATTCAGCTTTAAATACATAAAGTGACTTTATAGGGGGAAAGAGAAATTTTTCTTGTATGTCTGAATTTAGTCAGCTAATTCACCCGCCACTTTTTCCTTTCCATCTTTCAAGATCATTACTGCCAGTGAGTTGGCGTATGATGATTGTGAATTTCTGCCACCCGGATCATGAGCAGCACATGATGGTATTTGGATTTTTGGGATAATTGATTGTTATTCAGGTCGTTATACACCAGCTCCAAGCACAGCTAATTCCCTTAGGTACTAACTACTTCTTTCTATGGAGTTGAATCCACATGATGAGTAGTCACTGGTGCTATTTCCCAGGGATCAGTACTGGGGCCAACCCTTGTCTGATATCTTTATTGGTTATCTGAATGAGAGAATTGAATTCAGCCTCGCTAAGTCTATGGATGATGCTAAGTTGGAAGAAAGGGTTAATCTGCCTGAGGGTAGGAAGGCCTTACAGACAGGTCTGGATAGGCTGGATCAATGGGCTGAGGCAAATTGTGTGAGCTTTAATAAGTCCAAGTGCTGAGTCTTGCACTTTGGTTACAGCAACAAAGCTGTTTTTCACCTGAAGACAAATCATAGCTCCGTATCAGATGCTATGAAGAAATCAGATGTTATTTATCCCAGCTGAAACCAGCACATGAGGTTTGTAAGGTTGAGTTACTTATAGAAAATTAACTTAAATTTGTTTGGGCAGTGTGTATGGCACTTCTTAGACTGTTTGTGATATGAGTTGAAAATATGTTCTTCACCAGGTTCTGGCTTAAGTTACTGCTAGCAGTTTGTAATGGGTTGAAGCAACTACTGGACCCCATAGAAACAGTAGCATGATCTATAACGTGAATGCTTTATTGTCTCTCCATTGTCCAAAACTTTGGAGGTGTTGTATTCATATGAGTACTGCTTCAATATGTGTTTGTTTTATCTTTATACTAAGGCAACCTGCAAGGTTGTAATTTATCCAAGTAATCTCAGGGTCTTTGAAAATAACTTTTTCTTTCCTATTACTTTGCACGGTTTGTTGAGTTTCTTAAACATTTGCAAAATTACTAGATGGTAAATCTTTTATTACACTAGCAAAATCCTACATTAATAATTTATTTTCTTTAACAAAAAAGCTCAAACATAAAGTAACACTTCCAAGTTTTTTTTTTTTGTTGGTCCAACTATGCTAAAATAATGAAGGATGTTAAGAGAAGCCCCTTTCCATAAGGTATTCCTTGCTATAACATTTTCAGCTGTTTTTGGTTCATTCTTGTCAAAATTTTGAGTAATTCTGAACTTCTGTGACATGCTCAAACAATTAAATATTTATGCTTCTACTGCATTTTTAAAGACCAGTTTCTTTTTACAGAAATCAGATTTGTTTTCATTTTATGGAGTCTTTTGCTGGTTGTAAGATACATTGTTTCTCAAGAGGGGAAAAATACCTCTTTGTGTTTGCAAAGACTTTGTTCAGCTGAAAAAACAATAGATGGAGTATAGCATTCTATGTTCATCACTATTTCTCTTTTATAAGTTCTAGTACTTGCAATAGATTTATTTTCTACTAGGCCTGGAACTGGAAACTACGTAATATATAACAAAATCCCATTTTTTTTTTTTTTTTCCCTGTTACTCTAACAGCAACAAAAGCGTGGCTATTTTGGTTTGAAATATAAACAACGTACAATTTTGGATTTTCAGCAGGTACTCAACTGGAACTTCTGCAAGTGAAATAGCATGAGTGAAACACATAGCTGCTGACTCTACTGCAGACTGCTCCTTTTATGAGTCATTTATATCCCCTTTTTTTTTTTTTTTTTTTTTTTTTTTGTGAGTGATTTCTGCTGACTTTATGGCAAAAGAATTACTTATCTGTGGCCTTTCAACCAATTTCTTATCCATTGAGTGTTCCACCCATCATGGGATCGTCAGTTTAAAAAAAAAAAATAAAAAAAATAAAAACTGAACTTCTGCAGGCTTGGGTAGGAAACTTTTCTCTTGTGAACTTTTCACACAGCAGGAAATGGTAGTATTCCAGAATGCTTGCTTTTTTGGCTTCCATCACAGCTTCAATATTAATAATAACTTCTCTTGAAAGGAGAATGTCAGGATGCGAGTTTCTCACATTGCCTAGGACACTATATATATACTATATACGTATTTAAACAGGCATGCACTAATTACTTTAGATATTATTGCTGTGTTACTGAAAGCTGTTATAGTTCTCTGAATACTGAAAAGTAGAGACTCCTTCCTTTGTGCCCTGGGAGGTAAATAAGTGTCTGCTTATTGCTCTTAGCAGGAGTCATGTATTCTTTAGTCACAGTTGCTGGTTGCAGAAATGTTTAGGTCATGGGTATTTATGAATTCAAATACCAAAAAACCAAACTTCTAAGAACAGACTGGTTCTCAGTTAGGAATGTCTGGGTTTTTTTTTCTTGTTGTTGTTGTTGGGCTTTTTGGTTTCCTTTTTTTTTTTTTTATTTTTAATTTACATCCATATTCTCATAGGAGCTACAGAGAGAACAGAAATTGTGGATTGAGAGTAGAGCATTGTTTAAAACTTCATGGATTGTTACCTGCATTTCAAGCTCTAAAATGTGAACAAGAAGTCTACCTACTAGTAACTACCTTACTATAAGGTAAATAAATTAATAAATTGCAAATAAATAAATTGCAAATAATTGCAAATAACTATTAAAATGTCTTGTTAGAGAAGTTATTATATAGTTGCTTATTTCATTCACCTTATTAAAAGTAACATTTGGTTTCTTGAGTGATAAAGGTTATAGTGAGAAGCTCATAAAGATAGGAACTTTTAAGCAGGAGTGCAGTCCTTTCTAGCTTTATACTTTGCCTCATTATTTACATCTGCACACAACGAGTGTAAAACTACTATCCTGTCAGGAGGACAAGATTTTCTTACCCTTTTTTGCACAGGCAGAAATCATAGTTGCAATAAAGATCAACATGAGAGAGGAAAATTAATGATCAGCAGAGTTCTGTTTATTCAGAGGTAGTACTGTCAGATTTGAGTACACTGTAATCTCCCATTGATTGTGAAACATCAGTGGTTGTTTAAAAAATAGAACAAAGAAATTACAGAATTAAGTACTATTTCAGTTGCAGTAGGGTTGAATTTGATGGAAATTTGAGTTTTCTGTTATTGTTCAGTGGATTTTTTTTCAGTCTTTACAACCAGGTCAGGTGACAGGATCACTTACCTCTGTTAAAATGTTGATGTAATTGACATTGTCATTTTCTTACTTCCTACTACTACATGGATGCACTACAAGCTTGATTGCAAATAACGCTTCAGCAGTGATCTAGAACTCAGTCCCACATGCTAATTCAGAAGTAGGTATCAGAATTAATAGGTACCTATAGGAGAGGAAAAAAAAAAAAAAAGAAGAAAAATAGCAACAAATTCTCAGTTACATGAAATATTTCATGCTTACTTCACTGTCTGCATCTCCAGTTCAGGATCACTGGGGCAAAGGAAAATATTTGTGGGATCAAATTTTTATTGTAAGAATTAAAGTATTTTCGTTCTTTGTCAGAAACACTTCTGCTGATCTCAGTAGATTAAATTTTACAGTAAATCTCCAATTTATGCGGAAAATCAGATTAGTTTCTCACCTATGTCTTTTTTGAAAATGATTTGAAATACCTCAAGAACTGTTCAAATCATCCCAGATTATTTAAAAATCTGGGGAAGCCGGTCTACTGGATGTGTCAGATGGCATGGAATTTCACTTCTTGTTGATTTTATTTAATTGAATTACAAATTGTTAAATTACAGTTAAATCAGCACCAAGCTGTTAATAATTATAACTCCATTCTACAGTATAAATTCATTTCAAATAATTGAGGAATTGTAATGACCTCGTTACTCACTCACTAAAGCTATAATTTCACTTTTGCATTCATAGAGATTGGGCATTGTCTGCCAGAGCAGTCCTCATTATACCTTTATGACAAATAATTCCTGCCTGTTTTCACAGACCTCTAGATTCTTCTGGTATTCCTGCTTGCAGGAGGAGTGGGTCATATTGAAGTGGAAGGATAACTTGTAGCAAATATGCTAGTTCAAGTGCTTCCTAGGAGGTGATATTTCATAGCATTTGTGATGTGGTTGCCTGATCCGTATGGATGGATAATATAATGTAGAAATTTTATTCAGATACTAATATAATATTTTGTCGTGAGATTCAAACTGTGTTTCCAGGTTAATTCAGACTTTTAACTCCCATGTCTCTCATCAAATGATAGCTTTTCCTTTTGGAGTAATCCCATTGTATGTAACTACTTTAGTGTTCAGTAAACTACGGAAGGGTACATAGGAATTAGTCTGTCTAGGAGTTGAAAGACTTGAGTTCATTCCTACTCTAATCTAAATGTTAGAAGAGAGTTTTAAAAAGTTTACTTCCTGTAACTTCTGTCGAAGGATTCACTGTCCTCCAATATGTTTTTACGTACTGTTCTTCTTCATAAATTTTCCTTTGTGTCATTTTTTAGATTGAAAGCAATTTGCTGTAATAGCCTTTTCTGTTGTAAGACAGTGAGAATCTATCACTACAAAATCATATATGTATTTTGTTTTGAAGGCAGTGGGAAATAGCATTAATATTATTTATGTTATAGTTGAGACTCCTTTGGAAAATTCATATGTCTCCTAGAAAGGATTGGAGAATTGAAAAGTAGAAGTTTGTTGTAGAGTATCTAACATTCTGCTAGTCAAAACATCCTGCTAGAACTGGATGACTGAGAATCACTTCAGTTTGATAGCAGAGAGACTCAAATGCTATTAAATCCGAACCTAGGTGAAAGCCTTGTAATCTGACCTACCTATTAGTTCTAACCCAAATAGAACCTGTTCTTAGCTGTTCTCTTTCTCCGTTCAAATACCATTTTAAAATACAGAACTCTGCATTCTTTATTATGGATAAATGCCCTTCAACAAGATAATTCAAATTGTCTGCTTAAGTAAATCTAGAAATGACTGTTCTTTGTGATCTGGAATAATGCACTTTGAACCTGAAAGCACACTGGAAGGAAGGAGGTATAAGGGCCATTTCATCTTAATTGATCAGCAGCTCTTATGTGGTTCGTAGGACTGTGCTGTAATATGAGTATGAATGGGATGAACTTGTCTTTATAATCACATTTAGTCAAGAAACTTGTGAATCAGTTGCACGTTAAATGTATGGGATGTTTAATGAGCTTCTGTCATCAGACTGAATGTCTTTTTTGTTCTATGAAACGCTTTATGGGATGCAGCTTTAAAATGTGTCTTGTCTGTACCACTTCAGTACAACCTGCAGTTTTTTTCCACCAAATGTTGGTGTAACTCAGTGCATTTTAATGCTTTGAGAATTTTTATTTTATATTGTCAAAGGTTGTCCAATGCAGTGTCAATGGTTTACAGGCTGGCTTGGCCATCATAAAACTGTAACATGCAATAATAATGGAATGTTGTGATGCTGATGTTCATTCTGAATAATTTTAAACATCAACAATAATTAAAATTACTATTAAAATCTTAAATTCCTAACTTCTCAAATTGATGTTTCTAAGGACAGGAATATTCTAGGTTCAGAGAAATTTGGTATTATTTTTCTCATCTAGTTTTGTGTTTTAAAAAAAAAAAAAAACACAGTGTGTGTAAGACAACTTATACAGTGGGAAATCTGTCGTGAGTGATATTTATTTATTTATAGATTGATGTTTTCAAGCAGTATTAATGAGAGAAGTAGCAGTTCATAATCTTCGAGGATAAGTATCACATTTCTTTAAGAATGTGTTTTCACCTAGCTTATATCAAAGTGATTAGCTTTTTTCAATGTTTCAGTCTGATTTTGGCTTACATTGAATTGTTTTAGCAGTAACATAACTTAAAATATTCAGCAACTGCAGGAAGAGTTCACCAGAGAAAGCTAGAACAAGTGTTCAAGAGATTTGTTCTTAGTGTTCACTGCAATATGAGTTACGTGATTAAATCCCTTAGTAGTATTGGGAGGTCTTGAATTCTGAGGAGTTGGGGATTAGACTTTTGAGCTGGTTCTGTTATTCTAGATATAGACTAGAATGACTTGTGGAAATACTCTGCATACGTCATATGTAGATGTCATAAGACATCTGAAATAAGCAAAGTCCTAGAAAATTTTAAGAATGTTGAATGTAATTCTGAAATTGTTTTGGTCTATTCCCTGTAGATTTGAGTGTTTTTGAGACTAATTACATTATGTATTGGGAATTAGAAGAACTTTGGAAAGGATATAAGGACTTTGTGGAGAAAATGATTGCTTATCAGTAAAATATTCATATCATGTGATATGTTTTGAAAGATAGGCCAGAATTCCTTTCATAAAGTCAAGATGTTAATGGCTGGCAAACTTTGGTGTTTAATAGGCTGTCCTTCAACACTGTTGTACCAGAAGATGGAGCTGAAGAGCCTGTAATCAACATCTGTGCTGCACAGCAAAACTAAGTTTAATAGTGTTCACCTGAGTTTTGTAGTCTCCAATTATGAGATCAAAAAAGGAAAACTGTGATTGCAGCAATTTCAGCATTTTGTAGTCCTGTAACCTTAAAAACAGTTAAATAAGATGAAACCAAGATGAAAACAGATACAAATTCAAACTAAGCAGTTATTGAGCATGTTTCAATGAGAAACGTTCATACAATTATATTTAGATTTTTGTGTTAGAAAGATGCACAGAATAATTTAAAAACTTGTTCAAAGAACTCTCATAGGTTAAACTGAATGGAGGTGTACGCATTTAATATTGTTCATACCAAAATATTTGCAGAACCATGACATTATTTAGGTTGCAGATTCACATCCCTTATTTTTCACAAAACTTTTACACAGAATGACTCCATATAGCAAGAATATGCTATGAATTTTAAAGAAAGAGGACTAACTCCAATTGGTATCAAAAGATTATGAACATTTCTATGGCTGATGGATGGCTCTTGTAGGTAGTATTTTCTGGCATTCTATTTTATAGTTTTGTTACCGAGCTGTGCTCATGAAATGTGCACATTCTGTTTTTGGAGTTTCTAAACAAAATAGAAATATGTAAATCTTATTAACAGAGATAACAGCATTTTAAAACTGAATTGTAGACATCTACAAACATGGAAACTTCCCCTCTCTCTCCCACTAATGCAGCAGTAATTAAGGATTAACTAACCCTAACTCAGAAAGAAAATGTTATCATTTCCTTTTTTCACTGTAGCAACAGTCCAATAAATATATAAAGAACAATATTTGGCACATTAGGGTGACTAGAACTGATTGAAGGCTTCCAAAAGTTTATCTGCTTTTCTATTTTCAGTAAAAAAAAGTTTGAAAAGCACTTACAATATTGAAAGTACTATTTTGATATTTAATTTAAAAGGCAGTATATTCTGTCACTCTTATTTATTCAATGGAAACAAGCTTAGAAAAGAAAGAACTTTTACCTTGTCTGTGAACTTGTACATTTTACATTAGGTCATTTTGCTCTCAGCTGTGATGGAAATCTTGCTGCATCATTCTTCTCCTTCCAGCCTGCTGTGTGCTCCACCCACAATGCCAGTCTACCAAAATTATTAGGCCACAGCTTTAATGGGCAATTACCTAATGAGTTCCTCTAACGAGTAACACTTTGACTTACATTCCTTCTGCCAGTAAAGTTTAACTGTGTAGGATAACAAATGCTCTTTTCCTCAACAAAAGCTAGGATCGTAAATATTCCTATGCTTTCCAAGCTGATAGTATAAAAATGCTTGTATTTTCTTTGTTAGTAGATGAGAAATGCAAATGGAGAAAGGTTCACCTGTCTCAGTCTCTATAACCAGTAACAAATATATAGTAAATGATTACTTATTTGCCCAGGAAGTTTGTGCATGCCCTCTGTCCCAAAGCATTCAAAGCTAGGCTGGATGGGGCTTTGAGCAACCTGGTCTAGTGGGGTGTGTCCATGCCTTTAACAGGGAGGTTCGAACTAGGTGATTTTGAAGGAAAAAAATAAATATTATTTTTGAGATTACTGCTGGAACAATAGATAACTATTTAAGCTTTTTGCCGTGCTTAACCATTCTTTCCTTTCCTTTTTTTTTTTTTTTTTTTTTTCCTCTCATGTAGAACTTCTTTGTAATTATTGTAGACTTTGCCTCCAATAAAATAGCAATGGTTCTAGTGTCACTATTTGACCTTGGTTTTCAAGTTTAACATAGCAATGTGTGGGTCTGAATGAATGATGTGCTATTGTAGATTTTTGAGAGGATAACTGCTTTGAATTGAGTAGAATTATCACAATTTGGTAGTGAGGTAATGTAGTGATGAATCAGTATAGAAATGAGATAATAGAGGATAGAGTCAGCCTTACTTCTACTGTCCATAATCCTTAAATAACCTGTGACGATAAAAGTAACTTTCTTGCAGAATTCTTTCATAAATGGATGCACCTGAGGAAGAGTCTGAAGAAGGAAGTATGCTCAGAAGACAGAATTGTAAGTACTATGATTAATGTTCAGCAAGAGTGAAAGAGAGGTCTTTCTGTAGGCATTTATGTCTTAATATTTTTCTGGATATGTTTTATAAATCAGCTATTTCACAGGACGTTCTCTATGTTATAAAAGAAGTGTACTGAAGAAGTGCTAAAGAAAAGCATTTGTTGATCATACTCTGAATCTTATCACATTCTGAACCCCCTCATTTTTTTTAGTGACTTTGTGAAAAGGCTTAAATGACAGAGATTTTATAACACTGTTTCACTCAGTTATTCCATTAAGTCCTTAAGTGTTTCAAGCATTTCTTGAAATTAAGCATCTACTACCTCTCTGGAAAGGCTATTCTGAGTTGATCCACCCCCACAGTAAATAATTTTTTCTTAATGTCCAGTCTGAATGTCCCCTTCTGCAGCTTAGTGCCATTCCTTCTCATGCTATTGTTATTTTTATACTGCTTGAAAAAGCTTAGTCATGTATCATACAAATCAAGAAACTATTATTACAGATAGCATATTTCTCTTGAGGTATTTTTGAAAAGTGAAGTTTGATCATATGGTCTTTTTATGTGTGGAGTTCTCAGGTAAATGTGAAGACAGCTTGTAGAGGTGGTAGGCCTACTGTAAATTTACACAATAGTTCTATAACTTACATCTGGTTCTGACTACCTTTATTCTAACTGCATCAAGTTTTCCCCTTTCCTGGTTGTAATAAAGATGACTAATGATCAAAACATTGCTGTGGGGGGTGCAGAAGCCATCTTAAAGCCATATCTCATTACTTTGTATGTAGAAAATGATTTACGTACATTTTTGCATGAAATTGCTCTCCATTTTTTAATGGTATTACTATCACATTAATTCAATTGAAAACCAGTAATCTCAATCATATTTCTCATGGGCCTGATTTCAGGGTCTTGTGTACAACCTGAGTCTTAACCACATGACTTAGTGACTGCTATAGTGAAACCTGTGCCAGCTTTCTTTGGGGAAGAAAGTCCTTGCATTATTGAATGTACTTAGGATGACTAAAAGAGATGTCTCTCAGAGCACTAAAACTGTTAGTAGAATTGGGGTCTACAGAAAATACAATTAAGGTAATCTTTTATGAAAAACTAAGGAAGGGAAGAATCAGGTCATAATTTTCCAGTTTAGAATCTTAGTTGGTTGAACTAATGTTTATTGTATAGTATCACATTCCTGAGGATGTTACTCTGAAATAAGAATACAGTTAGCTTGTGACCTCGTTATAGCTAGTTTTTACATTTGCTGTTTTGCACTTTTGTAGTTGAGATAAAATTGGAGGGGGGGAAAACTGATCTCAAAGGTGAATGGATAATAAATCTCAGACAATTAATAATCTGCTAAAGCTCACATTGCTTTATCTTACATTTTTTTTGTCAAATGATTATGTTCTCCCAGACATTTTCTAATTAGCCTCTTTCAATCTCCTTCTATCAGTTCTATTGGTTTCATTTCCCTGTACTACACTTAGCACTCACATTTGAAAGCCTGTATTTTTACGCTTAATGCTTCTGCTGCATAATTAATTTGTCTTAAAAGAAACTGTGTATGCATAAAACAGATTAACATTCTTTCAGTCTTTTAAAGTCTGAATTTATTTTGGAATATTAAGAAAAATTTTCTCGCTCTATTTCTGTCCTTGAATGTAAGTCCCTTGGCAATATTGAATCTTTTTTACACAGAGGAGAGCAAATAATTCAGTTACTGCTGCTAATTCTCCCAGAACGTCTTTACAGATGCTGCACCATTTTGTGTAACCTGACTATATTTTTAAAGTATAAAGATTATAAATAACACTTATGTAAAAACTAACCAAACAAACAAAAAAAGCAAACCCCAAAACAATACAGACTAATCTAAATATACCTCAGCCATACCTCTCCTTCTGGTAGACACCTTTCTGCTCTATCTCAGTTTCATTCTGTTTTTCTCCTTCTCTGCACAAAGTAGAAGAAACACAGAAGTTTTGATGCAGTGGCCGCTGAAGCAGTAGGATTTTCTCTGATTTCAGTTACCCAGCTACCCCTTGTAAATCACATGATGCGTTAATTGTATGGAATCATAGTTTTAAAAGTAGCAGGGTAGCTTTTTCTTCTCTACCATAAAGAGTGTGGCAATAAGCTTTTGTTTAGTTCTGAATTTTCAGTTGTATGGAAGTCATAGCTTCATATATTTCCTTTGATATCCTATCCTGCTGTTACATTTCACTTTGTAGTCTTCGTTTTAACCCTTTCTTTACTATAATGAGTTCAGGTAGCACTGTTTTCTTAGTTCTGAGTCACTGACTCTGTTGCTTAGTCAGGGCTGTAATTGTATGACAAATGAGAAGTGATTAAATAATTTAAAAATTATTCAACAACTCTTTGTTAAATGTGTTTTGTTGCACTACAGGATTTAGAATATTTTGTTGCTTACACAGGCCTGAAAACTATAACCTATAAAACAAGGAAAAGGTCTAATTGCTCTGTGCATGGATTATTTATATCTAAGTGGTTTATGAAGGAATAAGAGTCCATAAAAAGAATGCCACTGAGCATTAAAAGCAATCTGTTTGTCTCATTTTAACTGGGATAAGAATATTAGCTCGTAGATTTCAGTAATGCAATCTTACATATGTGATGATTGCATTCTAATTTTAAAATTAGAGTTAAGATTAAAAGTGTCAATTAAGAAACCTTATGTATCAGAGTGGAGGCCTTGTGAGAATTATGTCTGACTTATTTGTTCAAAAACTTGGAATGTGTATGCTATCCAAAAGGGGGGCTTTCTCATATTTTTCACTTACTTTAATACTCTTGGTGAAAGTAGGCAGGTAGTGAAGGTCTCAGCCTTGTGAAAACAGTTTCCAGACCACTTGCTGCCTAGGTTAGACAATCATTTCTTTCAGGGGAGTGGAAAGTTTATTTTAGTGTTTCTGCCATTTTAAATATTGGAGTCAATCTCCTTTCTCAAATCTGTAGTGTTAACATTTAAATGCTTATCCTAGTGATTTCTTTATCACAGTTAGGAAAGTAAGAACTCAAGAGATGAATTGGCACTGCATTCTGTTAAAAATCTCACAGAGATACCTTTTCTAATTTGAAGGGTCCAGCTATTGGAAGATAATATGTGGCTGTGTCTGACAGGCCCTGAATAGAGAGAAGAAACTTGTGAAAAACTAACTTCAGAGGAGTAACACTGATTTAATTGGGAGGGGAAGGATGTTTTTAATATGGGATTTTCACAATAGTTGTGCCTGCATATGTATTGATACGGACATAAACAAGCGTAACTCCAGTATGCAGAGATTGCTTATGTCAGCCTACTTCTTTGTCTCTTGTCTCATTTTTATCCTGATTCAGAATTTATCACTTTCTTCTTTCTGAATCCATACATCTTGAATTCTCAGGATACACAGTTCAGCTTCATTTTTCTTATTCTGACTAACACAGGGTACTAGCAGCATGCATTTTTTATGAAATAATGTTGGATCAGATTTTGTTTCAAGTTGGCAAATATGGATGTCAACACAAACACATAAAATATGCTTAATATTTTTGAATGTGTAAAATTATTTCCTCCTGGTTTACTACAGTTCAGCCAACGATCAAGTTTAACACACAAGTAATTAAAGAAATAGTAATATCTCACCATTTAATGATATGAGCCATTTGAATTGTTATTAATACATAATTAAAATCTGTCTTTAAGGTGATACTTGATCGCACTTGAAAACTGCTATGGACACTTTAAACTCAAATTGATGCACCAGTACACCAATGCTTTTGTTTAGCTGATGGTTGGTTTATCACATTTAATTTACCCCTTTGCTGAAGATATTGCTGCTAGGATAGGTGCGTTTAATAGCTTTCTTGATTCGTAGCTTAGTATTTATGTCTTTTGAGAAGTATAATTTGGGGAGTGTGTGATGACTTTCTGTATAGTAGAAGCAAGAAGTTGGCATTAACTATATAGTTCAATGCTGAAAAGAGGGGGAAAAGAAATACAAATCAGACAAATGTAGTACGTGACTTTTTTTTATGTGCATGAGAAATGGAAAAGAGCTGTACGGAGAAAGTAGATGGAGTGGTAAATCAATTTTCTGTTCTCAGAAACAGAATAATATCAGAGTAGTATTACTACTAGAAGATCAGGAAGAAACAATCTTTTTACTTTAACAAACTATATTAATTCTGATTTTATGATTCTAATTGGCAGCACAGCACAATCTATATCTAGCGATAACAACAATAAGTGTATCTATATTCAGTTTATCAATTTTATCTGTACATTTTGAAAGCAATACTTTTAGCAAAAATGGAGGTGTGAAGCGTGAATGGAAGTATGTTTCCATACTGTTTTAACAAACAGTCAATATCTCTAAAAATGGTTCTTTAGAAGAGCTTCATAAACACGATATGCTTTGCTGAATGCGTATATTGATGTAGTTAGTAATATTGCCAAATGCAAATACTCATGTCATTAGTAATGTTCTCTCCAGAGACCCCTGGAAAAATTAAGAGAGTAATTAGAATTTTTTTCTTTAAAACAAAACAAAAAGAAAACCTTCATCAAATTGTCCACCAATGTTGAAAGTTATGAGATACCACATACCTTCCTATACCTTAATTTCATCTACCTTGAAGTCCCATTTTCAATCCTTTTCATACTTCTGTCCCTTACATAAGAGGAAAAATTGAAATTCAAGGGAAGATATAACACCAGATATATGTGAAAAGCACTTCTCTTGAAATTTCTGTTGACCTGCAGCAATCAACTATATCTGGTGACTAGTCTGTATGTTTCTTTAGATTTTGGTCTGATGTTACAAGTCTGAGACCCTTCTGAGACCTCTTCCAAAGGAAAAAAAGTTCCTGTTTGCCAGATATACATGACTACATGAAAGTATGTTACATATAGGCTGGAGTATAAAGCAGTTAGAATACATCTGAGATCCTAAATCATAAACATTTCTACACAGGAAAAGATTAACTGTGGGAACTGCATCAGTACAGTCTTCCGTTCCAATCAACAAAGATGGAAGGCTGAATGATGTGCTCTGAAACTCATTAATACATGTGTATATGTACATATGTGTCCCCAGTTTTTTTTCTTATATTTTACATATTGATCTTGCTCTTCACATTTTTTTTTTTCAGAGAACCTAAAAAGATACCATGACTTATAGAAGCCTGACTGTTAAGACTGAATTACAGATACTCATACAATTGAAAACAAATAAGCAAAGAAAATCTAGTTAACAAAACTTCTATTTCATTTAATCTTTCTTTTCTGACCTGTGATGGTAGTATGTCATAAATGTTCTAGATGAAAGTTTGTTTCGGGCAATAAAATACCCTTGAATTACTGTTAAGTCTTTATGTAGAAAACAAATCCTAGGCTGACTGACTTGTACAGTTTATGATTCAGTCATAGCTGCTAGAGCTTGGAGCAGAGTGTATATTCTAAAAATGTCATGTTATCAGTGGATTGTCAAGTCATTTCTGATTTAGCCCCTGGCTCTAACCAGACTGTCCTGTTTTCTAAGATAGTAATAAAAAGATAAGCCCTGGGAGTTAGAGGAAAAAAAAACAGCCCATTTGCATTCAGATGAGTGATTTTTTTTTTTCCCCCCCCCCCCCCAGCATCTCTTTCTATTTTATCTTAGGAAAATTATCATAGATTTGATCAAAAGCAGAGGGAAAAAGCATAAATCCAAAGACAGGTTAACAGAAGAGTTTCTTATTATGATAACTTCAGTAGATAACTCATGCATACAAAAATGTCTTTCCACTGACTGAAATCTAGTGTACAGTATATTACATTATTGATCGAGAGTATTAAATGTGACCCTGAAATGTCAAATAACTTCAGAAGAACCTACAACACCGAATTTCATTTTTATAAGATTCCTCTTAAAATGTTGCTATGGTTCCTCAAATTTAATGGCATGTGATAAGTCTCATTTTGCCTGAGAGCATGCAAGATATGGGGGTATATTAATGTGATCATAATAAATACACTAAACTCAATATTTTCAGCTATTTTCTCAGTTATTCTTCTGCTAACAGCCAATAGGGCTGATTGTTAATGAATTTACATTAAAAAAAAAACTAATAATGTAAATGACCTCGTATTCACTTAGTAGAATGTTAACCAGTGACAGAACTTGGTAGGATGGAGAAATGTTGATCTTTTTCATGTAGGGCTGTCCCTTTTTCAAGGCATACTTTAGGCTATGTGTAGAAGATTACTGTACAGGGATTAGAATTTAGTGGCAGATGGCAAATGCTTCTCCTTTTTTCTCTATGAAAGCTATTATTGAAGAGGAAGTCTACTTGTAGTAACAGTTTTGAACAAATAAATGAAAGTGAAATTCAGCAGATAAACATCTTGAGCATAAATGAACTAAGAACGTTTTTATAATGTTAGCTTTCTGTAAGATAGGAAGCAGATACTGCTCTTTCAGAAATTTTTAATGAGGTTTATGTGTGAACTGTAGAAGTGGTTATGTCACGGCTTGTGAGAAAAAAGAACACAATTGAAATTTCTGCTCACAAATAGGAGTCAGCTGTACATTGCAGTGTATTTTTGAATCCTGCAATAAAGTATTTGATATTAAAATGTGTTAGAAAAGAGGTCTGAACTAGGTTTAATTAAGCTAACTTGTGTTTTCTGTTGTCTGGGAGGCTGTTTCCTGTCTCTTTTCACAGCTCAGGTAGCATACAAAGTATAATAGAGTCAAACAATGTTTTGTATTGGAAGAGACCCTTAAGATCACTTATTTCCAACCTCCATGCTGTGGGCAGGGACATCTTCCACTAGACCGCATTGTGTGAAGCCCCATCCAACTTGGCCTTGAACACATCCAGGGATGGGGCATCCAAAACTTTTCTGGACAATCTGTTCCTGTGCCTCACCTTTACCCTCTAAGTAAAGAATTTCTTCCCAATGTCTAATATGTTTACTCTCTTTTAGTTTAATGCCATTACCTCTTGTCCTATCACTGCACTCCATGAAAAACAGTTCTTCTGTAACTTTCTTTTAGATCCAGTTTAGCTACTGAAAGGCCATTATAACCCCATCTCCCTTAGCCTGTCTCCATAGGCTCTGATTCTCCTTGTGGTACTCTTCTGGACTTGCTGGAGGTCTGTGTCCCTCATTTGTTGGGGATCCTAGAGATGAATACAATAATCCATGAGAGAAGGGCCTCATGACAGCAGAGTAAAGGGGAAGAATCACCTCCCTCTCCATGCTACTCACAATTCTTTAGATGCAGGCCAGGATACAGCTTGCTTTCTGAAATGCAAGCAAACGTTGCTGGCTAATGTTAGTTTCTCATCAACCACTATCTCCCAAGTCCTTCTCAGGACTGTTCTCAATCCATTTTTCAACAAGCCTGTATTTGTATAGTAATGGTTTTTTTATACTTTATTCAGTAAAGTGATTAATATTCCACATATTTCTTTAATTCTGCTGTTTAAAGTCTTGTTCTTAATTATGTAATCATGTCTAGACGTATTTCATTAGTCATCCAGAGTGTAGGCAAGGAAGACACCACTGGAAGTTGATAGGAACCACTCCTGTACAGCTTGGAACTCTCACATAACAAACTTTTATTTCTGTAAGGAATGTTGGACATTGATTTCACCTATATGTACATAAAGACAATCTGTAAAGAACAGAGAGCTGCTATGGGAGTGATTGAAAGACACATACAGTGTGTCACAAGAAGACAGCAGGAAAGATTCTGACATCTTTGGTGTTCTGTATTGCTATACCAATGGAGAGTTTGTTAACTAAACTTGGAGTGGAGGGGAGGAGTAATGATTGCTTTTTTTTTTTTCTTTATTTTTTTTAACCATTCTTTGGGTAGGCCTTATCCCTTTGTTCTGCCACTGAAATACATCCCTTTCAATGTACAGTAAAAGAGACTTAAGTGGAATTCTCCTTCATTAGTGAATGAAGTTCATTATGAATGTTCTGAGCACAACCTTCATAAAGGTTTGTAATTACATAAAGGCTAAATATATTTGGGTATAAAATCTAATACAGTTGTAACCATTAAAATGAAACCACTTTTATGTAAAGGACAGGCATTCTTCCTGTTAATGAGATTCTCTACAGAGCAGTTTACTCAAGTTGAAGAAAAATGTCTGTTAGAGATGGATAAGAATGTGCATAAAGGTGATCATCTCAGGAATGGTTAAAAACTTCAGAGAAATATTCTCAGTTCTGATAGTATGAATAACAATATGCTGTCCTACAGTTGTAGTATTCTTGATTTTTTTCACTATTATCATGTATAGTAAATCTTCTAATATTTAGAAAATGAATATTAAAAAGTTGAGAAACAGTTAAGCTGAGTAAAAAATGAGTTGGGTTTTTAAACTTACATGTTTACAGAAGGTTAGAGAGTCTTTGCCTCTTAGCCGAGTGCTAGGCAGTGCCAGTCTATGAAATGCCAACCAAAGGCTTACATGATCTTGCTTCCAGCAGCTACATTGAATCAAAGTGAGTAAAAGTAAGTTGCTTTGACTTGCGTGGAAGAAATTATTACTGTTGCTGAAAGGTAGTTGTGCAATGGCAGGGCATATGCATTATGCTGTTACTCCACAGTATGAAAGGATTTGAAGATAGCAGTCGTATGCAAATGATAGGTCTATGTATGTAGTTAAAGATGAGTTCTTAGCTCCATTTATAGTAATTTCCTCTATCAGCTTACAGACTACGTAGATGAATCAATTGGAACAAAATACTTCCACCTAAAGCAAAGTATTACCGTATTTTAAATATTGGTGATAAAACTACGAATCAATCAAATCTTTCTTTGCCTTTGGCTTCTAGTAATAATTCAAAACATTGCCCAAATGCTCACTTACAATAACAATTCCTTGAAAACAAATAGATGCTGCATAACACAGCTGTAATGTATTTATCTGAAACATGTACATATCACTGTACTTCATATATATCTATATGCAGCATTTATACATATATACAAAATAAATGTGTCACAAATTTATGTGTGCAATATCACATTGAAATAGTCACAGGAAATCTAAAAGTTGGTGTTTCCCATCACTACTATCAGTGCTTCAAGATGTTGCTGTAAATCTGTACAGAGCTGTCTTGGCAAATGAACTAGAATGTTCTAAAAATAAGAGCTAAAAAAATGTTGTTGTTTTTAAATAGACAAACTATTTGAGATACAGACAACATTCAGTATTGTTTCTGCAAACCATCTTAGAGGCTGTTGTTAATGCAAACCTCAAAGCGTGTGTCTGCTTAGTACCTTCAGGGGGGAATTTAGAGCATTGTAACAGAAAGAACAGTTAAGTTTTTTTAATAAACTATGTGTAAGCCATATGGAACACTAGAGTCAACTTTGCTAATATTATATACATAAGTATATACACACAGGTTGCTCCAAAAGTCATGCCTCCTATTTAATTCTGTGAAAACTACAACAGATACAAAGAGCATAATAAAACTTCTGATAGAGCAAATTCTCAGCTATAAAACACTATTTTTCAATGTACTAAAAAACGTTAGCTATGTATTTTTACCAGTGATAAACAAGAGCCTGCATGCCATGCTCATAACAATCTGCATGGCTGTCCCGAAAGGCTTGCCTTTCATGTTGCTATCACCACTGCTGAAATGCACTATTCACCACCTCAGTGTGTTCTCATCCACTGTTTGGTCTCCAAAAGCATTCAGAAAGCATTGATGGATGTCAATGTATGTCACTTTTCTTCATGGAAGAATTAATTCACACACCTTTGCTTCATAAGCACTTCCATGTCAGATGCCTTTTTGTCAGACTGCTCCTCTGCTTCCATCTGTCACACAGTGACAAAATACAGAGGAATATTTTTGAGAAGGTTTAACTTTCACATGCTGCCAATGTCTGCGTTTGATGTGATGGGCCAATGTAATCAAATAGGCAGCATTACTTTTGGAGCAGCACTTAATGTATATGCTGCTAGGAAAAAAAAGAAGTTGTTACAGTGTTAGCAGAAAAATGATATGCAGATAAATGACGTGTTGCAGAATATTGAGCAAACAATTTCTCGTGCAGGGTACCTGAGAAATCGTGGGATGTTCTAGTACTCTGTTTGGATTGCAATTTCAATTTCTTCATTTGCTGCAATTTGAACTTTAAAAAAAAAAAAAAAAAAAGTTTTATTTGACAGGTTCCACAGTCTCTGATTAACAGACCTTGTGTTACTGTCATGCAC